GATGAAAATAAGTCGATTTAATTCTAAAAAAAAATCACACTCTTTGCAATCGCCTTAAACGAAATCAGTTTGATGTTCTCAAAGGAAAGTGCACGATGAGAACTTGTTTTTATATTACTATCGGACGACTCTAGACGCAGGTGCACCTGAGAAACACACTGGCACAATACTAATCATTTATAAGCTCAACGGCTGAGCAGTGTTGTACGAATGCTGTATAATTTATATACAGGGTGACTATAAAAGCACTCGCCGAATTGATTGTCGAATGTTTCTCGTACACGTGAAACAGATCGCCATCTTTCTGATAGTAGATGGGTCCCTTCTTTGTCTCGATGTCGTCCAATTGAAGAAAACCTTAGTGCTCTGTCAGACATGTCATGTCACAATATACACATTCATAGATGCTGTTGTCATACATAAGATTCCACCAAACGTTCACCTTGGGTTAGTCACATTAATTTCCAATAAACACATTAGGGAGTTGTGTGCCCTAAATCCGATAATTGTAATTCACTAACCGGATGTACCTATCATCGTATGCTCAGTATGATTAAAACCCCCCGAGTTATTTTTAATGAACACCCTGTATCAATAGAACGGCTATTGCCAACTTGTTTTAATTAAATAACAATTAAGTGTCGAGAACATATTTCTTGATCTCACCTATAAATTTTTAAAATTATACTTTAAAAAGCAAAAAAAAATATCCACTGTTCCTGACCAATAGAACACTTCTAGACGTTTTTCGATTATTTGTTGTTTTTTTTTCCCGTTAATTTAATCAATATTAAATTGTTTTTTTTTTAAATTGTTATTGCGTAAGCAAACGACTTGCCTTCCGCTACCGTCGATTAATATGGCAAAGTCAACGCTATAATAAAGTCTAAAGAACAAGTTTCAAAGTCGAAGTGAGACAAATTCCCCGTCGTCTCCGGTCGACCGACTTTCCAAAAATTATGCAACTGCTAGTAAGTAAGTACGATTCGCTTGGCCAAGAAGTCTATAGCGGCGGGTGGCTCGCTCACTGTAGCTGCTCACCTGAATCGAGAAGTTTACCACTGGCCTAGTATAGGGCTTCCACGAATACTCGTTAATCCGTTAAAAGCTTTTACATCAATCAAAAAGAATAACGGCCGTTTTAACGGTTATTCGTGTTTCGGTTCGCCCAAAAGTTGCAGGCGTTTTTATAGACCTATTACTCTTGGCTCCTCGCCGGCTGACTATTTATTTTCATAATAGGTAATATGAGAAGAATATGTACTTTCGAGTTTAAGCAACCGGCGTTTTCATAATCTAATAACCGGAACGGTATTGTAAAAAAAAAAAAAAGCTATATTTATTGTAAAAACATAATAAAACTATACAACATTACTTATAACGTTGCTAAAATTTATAGTATTTAGTACTCTTGTCGTCGATACGTTTGTTATGCACGCCTGCACACTTACGGCATAAGCGTACGTTAATAATGCACAAGAGGGGAAAGTGAAACTTAACATATTGCACTACTAGTTATGCGACAACGTCAGTTACTTAGAAAGGTCCGCGCCGAGTCGTAAAAAGCGTTGTTTGTTATTTTACTTGGAGCTTTATTAAAAAAACAACACTATAAAATATAATCTGGCTTCTTACCGATATGCGTTCCTAATAGGAATCTCTTTGAGAAGTGTCGTTCAGTGTAGATGAGCCAAATGACAAAAAAAAATAAATAAATAGAAAAACCTACAAGGTTATGCCAAAGTCAACCCCGTAGAGCGATGGTCATTTGTCAAACCTTTGTGTGGCCACTATTTTTTAAATTAGATAATAATTTACAATATTTCAAATAAATCTACCGAAAAATTACAAATACTTTTAAAATTTGGAAAATGTATGAAAAAATAATTTAACCTCGTTATTTATTCGCAAAACGTTTTTTCTTCACAACAAAACTTTTCTGCGCAGTGGACGTTTTAAGAATTTCCAACTTTTACTAACAAAATGTTCTTAAAGTAAATGATTTTACTTTCATTATAATTGTCTACGTTTATATATTATAATCATTGAAAGTTTTCATGCAGTTCCGAGACAACTTGTCAAGAACATTTATTAATTTAAGGTTGTTGGCTTTAAAACAAAAAAAATGTTTGTATGCAATTTATTTAGCAACAAATTCTAGTGTAGGCCACTTGGTAATCATTTCGTGATTTGTGCGGTAGTATGGTAGTAGATTGGTGTATGAAGTTTTATGTAGCCCATTTAAATTTTCACATTAATATTTGTGTGCACTTTTACTCTGTTTTAATAATGGTAAAATTTCAAGTAGCTGGACGAATGCATATTTCTGTCTAATATTGTTATCTTATTCTTATCACTTTGCGGTCCTAATGGGCTTAAGCGGCTTTCGCTAGGGTTCTACCAATCGCCAGTGCGGTCCACACGAGTTGAGCACACGAGGAAAAGTCATTAACGCTCGCCAGCCGTTTGTGTTTAATCGCAGTAGGCGTACGACCCAGATGTTTTATTATGGTTTGTCTTGTGAGAGCTTTTCTTCGGATTGTTAAGTTCTGCTTTATTATTTTTTTTTTTTTTGAAACAAGAGGGAAAAAAATAGAATACATAGGTACAAAACAAATCGATTCCGCAGCTGAACTTGGACGGAACGGACTTTTAAGCTGACCACCCACTGCGTTTCATAATCTCCTCGCACATAGCTGTCTGAGTGACCCCCGTTGTGGAATTCCCCTCTCGGAATCCCGCCCCTCCACTGTTTCGTGTATAATTACTCGGCATAAGCCTACCTACACAAAATAATCTTTTGCCTCGTTTTTAAAATGGCAGCGTTAATGAAACGACCAAAATTTTAATTACCGACCAAATTAACCGGCGAAATTTCATTCGTGATTTAACAACGATAAAATCTGCCGAAACGGTAAATTTGTTTTCAAAAAAAAATACAATCAAGCGGTTCGGTTTAAAACAATTTTAACTTTCTTTCGCATAAAAACGACAAATGTTTGTTCAAGATAAATTATTAAAAAACAGCGTTATAAATTCTGTTAATTATTAATTTATTTAATGATTTCTTTAGAATCTCGAATAAGTAATGCAGCGGTTGTGTACAAATATTTTTTTTCCCTAAAGCAATCTATAGAAGGAATGATTATTATTGGATTATCTCCTTATTTGTGCTGACGGCGGGCAAAGTAAAATTCATAATTTTACTTATTGTAAATAATTGTTTTCCAAAACCAATTAGGTATGAGTCGTTATCTAATTATCAAACATTTCTAATTATTGCGAATCGTTTACCTCGGATACTTACCGTAGTCAGCAGTTCTTATGTCATATATCACTTTAGTATGTTTTATAAGTCTATACACACTCTTTTTTGATGGACTTAGAAATTTTACTGTCTAGTCCCTATATCGCCTGTCTGGTGATCAGTATTCAGTAGTAGTCACAGTTATATTTTGTTTTGTTCTTTTCCTTTGCCAAACTAGCAACCGGGTTATATAACAGTAACCGTTAACACAATACGTTGGCTTCGGTTTAATTTAAAATAAAACAATAACAAACCTCATCGACAAAAAATCAATGCAGTTAAACACTATAATGCTCAGTCAAATTATAGAAGGAACTGGTTTTTAAAGATGAAACTCCATATTGGAAAGTAAAAAACATATATTTTGGAATTTTCGTTATGAACTTTTAGTGATTTTTCTTACTTTTATATTATTATTGAACGAACAGGGGGCATACATAATACTTGCCTTAACCTGGCTATTAAAACCAACTAGAACTTACATAAAATAATATAGAACATGGTCAACTATCAAAATAACATGAAATTCCCAAGACCTTTTTATGTAAAAAAAACAACCGTTTATTTACAATGCACTGATGTTATGTAAAGGTATAATATAATGCTACAAAATATGGTAGGTTCCTTTTATATAATATTCAGTATTGTTTTATGTAAGGTTTTGTTGGTTTGAATTTTTGACTCTGTTGTTTACTTTGTGTTAATTGCAAAACTACCCAAACAATTGGTTTTGATATTATCACTTACATTCCATTAATTTCCCAATTATTTTACAGCAAATATTATGTAATGAAAACAAATAACGAAGCCCTTAGGTGGATAATCGATATTATTTATTATTAAGCTCTACGCGTTAATTAAACCTAACTATGACGGAACACATTTGTCTGCAAAATGCAAAACAATAATGACTCATTGAACTTTTAACTTTTGTTATTAAAATTACCAAAGTTTGATATTTTGGTAACCGTTTTTAATAGTTGTCCCTTAACCCCTATTTATCTAATAACCCCAAAATTTTGTTGGTTTTAGGGTAGCACCTATATCCTACATTTTGTTTTTTCAATTACAATATCAAATGATTAAAAAAAATAGATAATTCCTTAATACAAAGGTTAAATTGTTTTCAAAAAATTATAAACAACAATATAACGTAGTGTAACTAAATATTGTACGTAAAATGTATTAAAGTGGAAATATTTGAACATTAATAATGACTTGCCTACTTTGTCTTTATTATTTTTCCTTTTTGGTAACATATTATGTTACAAAAATGTCCGAATAAGACAATATCAACCTTTAAAAGTATGCTATATGTAACGGAAGGGAATGCTTTAAATTCTACCCTGTCCACCATTGACTTAGTCAACCTTTTACCCTAAGCCTAAAGGTACCTTCAAGGTAATTTCCAAAAAAAAAGATGTATGAACATAACCTATGATATTATTTTTTTTATAAGAGCTATAAAAGGTCATTGGAAGAATGACAAAAAGTAGATAGTATAACTGTTTTAACATTTTATTGCGATTACATAAATAGTAAAAAAAGTTATTTTTTCACTGTTTTCGATGGCTCCAAGTATAATTTTACATAGCTGTCTAAACGCGGCTGTTTCAAAAAGTCAAGCGCGATTTTTTCCAAACTAAAATAGGAACAACATTTTGACAATTTTTTTAATCCTTTTTTTTTTTAGAAATCCAGGGACACCAAATTTGAGCGACTTCCAATCACCGAACAGCGATTCGGAGGACACGGAAATCGACGGCTACAAAGAATCGAAAACTCAAAAATATTTGATTTCTATGGTGGCCGCTTACGCCGTGTGCTTGTGCCCTCTCATGGTCTTAAGGTGAGCTACATTTATAATATGTAATTATGATTCTATGATAATTCTTCTATAGTTAAAACACAATCAATAACACGGTTGGGAAAAAATTGTTGAATTATACATTTAGAACTTCCAGCTATTATTTAATGGCATTAAGTCATCCGAAAATAATAATGATAAGTTCAATTAATCGAAATTATTGATTGCTATAGGCCAGCGGTATAAAACGTAAAAAGAAATTTAGTGCAACAGTCATTACTACTTACTAATAAATAATAATATAGAAACAGTAAAATTATTCAGTTTGTATATTTCTCTAGACCACTCAACTCTATTGCCAATACCCGATTGAATAATAAAATCTTATTACATAAAAATTATTGTTACATTATCCAAACGGATACCAATATTGATTGTTGTGCAATAGGCGCCATTCCCAACTATATTTGATTGTTTTCAATAGATTGTTAAAAAATAATATTTATTATTAGAGAGAAACAAATTTTATTTAAAGTAAGCTGCACACCGTGTAGGTTGCCTGAAGACACACAGCATACTATCCAATATACAAAAATATACATAAGAGTTCTCCAAATAATCGATACTACTATAATATTATAATAATTCCAGAGTTATAACAATCGTTGTGGAGCCAGCTACTTATTCAGTGTTGAAGTGATTGTGAAATAAAAAAACTACATTGATATGTTTATACAATATATCGGTTTCGCAGTATGATAACGATTGAGTTTATTTTTTGATCATGAACAATTTAATAATCATTTTTTTTTTTTTTTTTGTTATTCGACAATGGGAGTTAAATTCATTGGTAATGTTTTGGAAGTGGAATGCATAAACGACAATTTAAATTCGATTTTTTTTTTTACCACTAAATTTATTTATAGCAACACGTGTAGCACGTTGGATGAATGAACAAACAGGTATAGGGGTTGCGATTTGTGTGTGAGGGTGACAAGGCCGACGCAGTCATTTAAAAACAAATTACTTTTCCCGCCGTCGCGTGACTAGGCCAACCGATTTGCCCATTGAGGTGTGTAAAACAGCAAGTTCGTTTTTTTGAAATATTTCAGATACAAAGTCGTGTATAGGTTCGTATTATTGATTAATATATAGTATTACTAAGACGATTTGCAATTAAAAATGAGAACGTTTCGCCGGATTATTGTTTCTCAACGTGAAACCCCAAAATAAAGTAACTTTTTAAATGATCCCAATTTATCATGTATGTACCATTGTCAATAATAATAATAATAATAATAACGTTACCGGTTAGTCGTAGACTTTTTGTACCATTATTCATTGGCAAGCATTTTGCCCGAGTTTAATAAATCACGACAGTCCGTATCTTAATCGCGGTCAGACTATTTTTTTTTTGCACAGTTTTAGTTTTGAGAAAAATCTCAGAGGGCTTAGGTACTATATAGTAAGTGATTTTTTTTTTCTTTTGGAAATGGTTAAGTTACCACAAGTCTATAGATCACATAGCTTAAACAAAAAGTTTAGGTAAAGAGATCAGAAGCGATTTGTGTTTTATGAGTTGCAAGTACAATTTGTATAAAAAAACGTCCATCCTTTTTTTTCTTTGACAATCTTTCAAGTAATTTTTGTTTATTTATCGTCGACCCGCCTTAACTTGTTCGGATTTCCGTATAGACATTCCCTTAAGTTTTCTCTTAACAAACGATAAAACTATAAGAACTATATAAACTACTTTAGTATAGAACCCTTTTTATCTCCATGAGGTAAGTGGGATTTTTTTTATGATTTAGAAATAGGGAACTCAACATTTGTGTTAAGGTTTATGCAATAACATATTATTACACATACAACTAGGAAATACTAAAAAAACAATATAATTAATGAGGTGGGAGAAATAAGGGCTTGGTGTTTTAAACAAATAATAAGATACACTATGATTCATATAATTTAATTCAACTAGTTAACTAAAGTTATAAGTCCGAATAAACAAAGTTTCAAACAATTACAATAAAACAATTTGCGTTGGCTTTTAGAATAGTTTAAGTTTTATGGTTTTGTTTTAATTAAATGCTAAAAGAATAATTTATTTTTAAAAAGTAGATTTCGGTAACAAAATAATTATTAGAAAAACTGATTTTTTTTTTATTATTATTGTTTAAACTATTATGAAACTATTTTTTTTTTTAATGTCCAACTTGGCAGATAACTGATTTACAGATCTCTCGCGTACAACGATTTATAGCCTATTTGGGTTTTATGGTACCGATTTCGAAAAAAAATATTAAATAAATGTAAAAACTTAAAGGTGTATAAAATGTACAGTGTACCTTATGTAAATATTCGAACATGTCAACGACACTTCTTGTAAATAAAAACGAACTACACGCAAATAATTATTTATTATTAATGTATGAAAATATACATATATGTACAACACCTAAATATGTATAAACAAAACCTTTTTTTCGCATGCAACACATATTATTATAGCTTTTGTGTCATTCTTGTCGTGTACACAAACCAAGTTTGGTGTGATTAAATACCAAACAATGACATTAGTAGGACAATATAGTATTAATCATAATACATCACAGCGATACAAAAGGAAAGGGTTTATATAATTTTACAATAACGATAATACATATTGTAATGTTTGAGAAAACCATTGACAAATGAATCACATTAGCTTCTGCCTTTTTGGGTAAACATAATATAACTAGTGAAAGGGAATTTCTGGATTATGGAAATGCGGATCGACAGAATTGAACAATAGTTGTCTATAGAATTTAACGGATTATTCGGTTATTTGTATGTGTATTGTCTTAAATATTTTTTCTGATACCTGTTGATTCATCCACACATAACAAACTGAATACGTCACAAATCTGAAAAAAGTTTGTCTAAAAGTTTTTAATGAATTTGTAGATGTTATGGGCCATTATATATATATTTATAGATCTACCTTCAGCATAATTTCCACACCTCCAGTCCCGAAACTTCGACCAGGAAAGTAAAATATATAAGTAGTTACCGTTATAAAAAATACAATACCGTTGACAAAGTATATCGATAGTTGATAGCAAACCTGAGAGTTATTAAAATTAAATAATAATTGCAACTTATTTTTATTTGAACAACTATTCAAGTAATGAGATCCACTACATTTGCGTTGAAACAAATTACTTGAAATGACAGGTTATTTCAAAAGTCAAATAAATGATAAAAATTCAATATGAAATGAACAATTCATAGAAATTTGGAACATGGAATAATTTTAAGTTTAAAAACTATACAAGTTTTTTAGGGGTTTTCTCGATTTTGAATAGGGAATGGGTGGTTTGTATATATTTTTGTCCCGATTAAGTATATTTCATGTAAGATTTCTGATCTATAGACTTGCTACATGAAGAAATCCGGACCAACGGGTTTAGAAAAATAAAAATAAAAGTGAGGAAAAAACACATTGTTGTAAAAGCAGTATTTTATCAGCTACGCATCGAAATTAAAATTATTGTTATCAAAAAACTTATTCACAGAAACGCACATCTGCCGAGACACGTTTAATAATGTTTTTTTTTTTAATTTTCTCAAAAAATGCGCACGGCTTGAGAAGTTACAAAAGTAACTTGAGTATACAGGTACATAATTTCGCTGGCATTTAAGTCGGAAGCGTTGCACAAAAAAGTCTGCTGTCTGTTACACCTTAAGAAAATATATTGTATACAAGTTCAGGAAACCCCGGTTAGGTTAGGTTTGTCACGCGATACGGCAAGTGGGCAACAGTATTGTTTTTGTACTATTTGGCGACGTGTGGGCCAGAAACAATAATAATATGAATACCTTAATGTATTCACTGCAAAGATAACAACTCTCTCGTTACCAGCAGACAAGCTTTTTAGTAAAGCTCCTTTTTAGCGACCTACATATATATATATATATATCGGGCAATATGGTCACGACCAAAAAAGTGTAGGTACTTCTACTGTATTCCTATAAAAAAGCGAGTCTGTGTTGCGTGCACGGCCGGTGAATAGTAATATCTTCAGTATTTATGGCTTTTATCATATACCTGGAGTACAGTTAAAGAAAAATGCACTATGTTTCTTTTGTCTAAATTTAATACAAATGCAAATATAAAAAGTACATGACTAGGCATTTGCTTAGTTTTTCTTATTACTAAACCTTAACATTAAGTACTCTGTTTTAGACATCCTAAATTATTTTCAAACCGATTCTCTCCAATTATCGCCTCCCTCTCTCTATTGCTGTATTTACTGTAAAATGCATTAAATTAATTTACTTTTCTGTTTTCTCGGCCGCTAAAACTAAATTTACTGTTAACCATATTTGATCCACAAACATGAAAAATATTATAATGTTAACCAACTACACACAAGTTATATAATCACTTTCTGATCTGAAAATGAATGCATTAAAAATATTGTTTACAACATTTACTGTAAATATTTTACTAATAATAATTAAACAATATTAAAAAAAAACAAAAATACTTTTGATGCATTAAATATTCCTGACCGAAAAAATATAAAATTGTTGAACACTTAAAGTTTTATACTGACCGGGATATATTTTGAGACCAATCTGATCATTGAAAACAAAATCCTAACTCGTTAGTTAGGATTTTAATGTGTGAGACGTTTCTCATACAGCAAAAATATAATATTTTACATTAACTTGAACAATATTTGTTATTTATCTTTTAGGCTTTATCGATCAATATTATGGCTGGACAATTATATTTACACACATCTTCAATGTAATATATTATCCTTAATAGAAAAAAAATGTGGTTTCTTATAGTCCGTGAAAATTAAATTCGCACGATGCGAAGTTAATAAAACGATTTCTAAAAGGGGGAAAATGCCGTGAAATGTCATTTATTATTATTATCATTATTAACCGAGGCATTCGAGTTAGGTTATAAGAGGTTGGCGAGCGGAATTAATAGCCTCCCCCCACAAAGCCGTAAATTAAACTGGGCGAGAGATGTTAATTTTTATGCGAATATTGAGAATGTGAATGGCCAATAGGAATTTTTTAATTAAACCGCGACAATACGCTGTGTCGAAATCCGAAATCCTATTGTAGCCACCCACACACACACACACGGTATAGTGCACTTATCGCGTACTTACAATTTACGGATAGCTAGATACTTTTTGCTGGAAATGTGTTGGTCTGGTGAAAATTCGCACGGCAAGAAACGGCAAAGAAAAATTACAGGGCAATAATATCAACTGGAACGTGACCGAATCGTTTCCTCTATACTCGACCGACTAATAACGTCCACGGAGAACCGTTTTAGGGTCACGTCGGAAATTCAATCACTAAAGCCGAATCACAACTTGCACTCAGAAGTTCAGATTTTGTTTACTTCAGGTTTATACCGTGGAAGTTGTTTTTTTTTGTATTTTTAAAAATACATATTTTACAAAAATATAAGCAATAAGGTAGTCCGGAGACGGACGATACTTGAATAACTTATGTGCAGCAATACATTAGCAACTGGAAATACATTACTTTATACTTATGGGCAATCGGTAATTTCGTGAGCTCAAAACGTAAGAGTTTAAAATTTTTAAAAAAAACAACTGTTTTCGACCTAGTTACGGAAACTGAAATAGCAATTTCACCTACGCATTTATTAAGAAAATCTAACATTGTTACACCTCGTTGGATTGGATTTGGTTATTCTACCATTTTATCAAACAATATATCTACATGGTTTGTACAACGGTACAATGATTTGATCTGAAGATTACCTATTATAAAACTTACACTTTTAAACGTTTTATTCGTATTGCTTTTTATATATACATAACTCATAAGTAGATAGTACATAAAAAAAATTAGCAAATACAGATGAAAAATATAACAATTTATATTCTAAAATAAAACAAACAACATTGCCCATATAAATACAATGTTGTTGTGTTTTTAAACATCTCACTAGAAAGGGTCCGGATAAAGTTCCAGAAATTGTTCCGGAACTTAATCATTTGTTCCGCGGTATACCTATTGTTCCGGAGTAAAAATATTTTACTCTTTTATTTGTTCCGGAACAAATAAACTTATGTGTTTTTATCCGACATCTGTTCCGAAACAAATAAATCTATTTGTTCCCATCCGATAATAGTTCCGGAACAAATGGAACTATTTGTTCCTATCCGATATTTGTTCCGGAGTAAATAAAGTTTTTATCTGAGACAAACAAACCTATTTTTAATTTTTAACTTTTGTTCCAAAACTAATAAAACTCTGATACATCAAGAGATAGGTCTTTTTTAAAATTTCGTTTAAAATAAAAAGACTATAATTAAATTATAGATTTAATTTAATGTAGTAAAAATACATTAATCGTAACGAATATTATGCAAAATACATTGCCTACTTATTCCTATTTATTATGATTTTAGACCTATTAGGTATTCATAAATGTATGAATAATGGAAGAAATAAATGTTGATAATAATAATAATAATAGATAATTTATTTAGCAGTATTGAGGTGTACAAGAACGGATTACATATATATATATATATTGATATTGCACTGCTTCGTCCATCACTAAGGATAAAAGCAAAGGACTACAATGCAAACATGTTTAGTGGCACATACACATTGGTATAGGATACAATACACTTGTAAACCGACAGAGTTTATGAGCTCCCATGTGGCAAACGGATAATGATTACACCAACTGATAGTTTGATTATTGCCAACAGATTACCTATGTGTGAACCGAATTGAACTAAAACCATTGCCCATCTTATCCGTGTAATACGTTTATATATTCGTCGGCCGATGTATGTTGTGGGTTTGTATGCAACCGACAGACTTCCGAAGGGTTTCCGTGCATAATAATATAATTCTCTTTGACACGAGGTGGTCGTTTAATGCGATTTATGGCTGTAGTCGGTGTCGTATGTGTGCTGTGCTGTGTGCAGTCTACGGGGCTTCCCTAATGGCAGTGAATCAATGACCATCGCAAAGCATCTTTGAAAATTAAACCTTCAACAACCACTCTTCCTCTTACAATAGGCACCAGTGGAAGTCGTTGGCGCTAAATCCACTAACCGTTCCGGCCCGTCTAATCTAAAATTAAATCACACACAATTGCCCAGTACAAGTTTAACATTTTTTTAAACGATTTAGTGAACATTTTGATTTTAAATTAGGGAAATTTCCATTTTAATAGTACCTACCACGTTCGTTTACAAAAATAGTAACTACTTAGCTAGATCTGAATTCCTCTGAAAAAATAATTCGTCCCTATGAGGTTAATCAGAAAATTTGTAGGTCTTAATAATAATAACCAAGCCAATTTATTTACAATATATTATGTTTTCAACATGTCTTATGTATTGCAGTAAATTATTTATATATATTTAAGAACACAATATAAGAGTTTTACACAAAATTGTAACATTAATTCTTATGATATTTTTAACTAATTCTTAAAAAACTAATATTGCAATTTCACAGATATAAAGGAAAAAAATAGAGTAGATAATCCTACGACCAATTAGTTTTCTGGAGAACAGTGTTAAAAGATCATTTCACCTTTGTTTATGTGTAAATGTATTTTTTTTTTAGACTAGCAAAGCTTGAAGTGGCCGAAACGTACGAGAACAGCAGACACTTTGACTTGACGTTCATGATATTCGTTTGGTTGGCGTTCTTGCCAACGGTTACCACACCTTTGCTGTTCATTGCTTGGAACTCCGACAGGTGGGTAATAGTAATAGTGTATAAACGGTTTATGTTGGCAGTTATAATAAATGGTAGTCCAAGTAGATATCACACCAAGCAGATTATGAAATCAACACAACAACTTTCACAAATTATTATTTTTTAAACTATACGTTTTTTTTTAGCTAAAAACAACCCTTTCGAAAAAGAAAACCCAAGTATCAAATACGGCCAAACATTTTATTATTGTAAACAAATAGATAAAATCATATAAATTAATTAAAATATAGAAAAATATTTATGAAGAAAAAAAACAGGTTTTTATTTATGATTAGGTGTTTGTCTTCGCAAAGTCAACACTTTGATATTGTTGTCAGTTTGGCTAAAGTATATTGATACATTTTTTTAAACATTTTCTTGTAAAAGTAAATTGGTTCAATTCGAGCAAACGGTCTAATGTCTATACAGTCTTTGAACATTGAACTTTTTGCATTTAACTGTAAATTTGGTGGTTTCGCGTGGACTACTGTACATAACTATTTTAGTCGATGCGAGTGGGCGACAATTTCTAATTAAAAGTGATGTCACACGCGCCAAATTGTCCTCAATACTAATACGTTTTTAAAATAGGTATAATGTATTGATTTTTTCGGTGTACACGTATGCTTTCAGCTCGACCAAAGAAAGGATTCGAAGTTATTTCAAAAGAACAAAAGTGACCGCCGATCAGACGACGAGGTCAATGTCAATGGAAGGCCTGGCCGCCCGTAATTCGATTTACACGGTCCAAGAAAGCATCCCTTAGTGAACATTTTTTTTTTTTTTTGTACACGAGGCGTCTATAGTTTCAAAACCATCTAAAAGACATTATGTAAACGTGTTTTTTGTTTTTGTTTTTGTTAAGTGGCAACACTGTAATACCATCTGAAGAAATTATTTGTTGTTTGTGAACATTTTGCAAACATTGATTTTAGCCGGTTTTTTTGAAACTAGACGTCTCAATCATATTAATTATATTACAAACAAATGCACAAACAATTTTTTTTTTTTTTAATTTATAACAAAAATAAACAATAATAATAATAATAATAGTAATAATAATAAAACGTCACGGACATTGTTAACGCGGTCGTCAGAACGAATAGCTTATGCCGTTACCGGAAAACTGAAACCTGGACGTATCGGCGGCCGACGAGTAAAGTACTCCCAAGGGATTCTGAGTCTGTTGGAGAGCCGCGGCCTTGGACGGCACGGTCTGTTGGATTTCGGTTGGATTGGCCGTGTACGCTGCTGCTGCGCTCAGCTGATTGTTGTTCTCGGGCGTCTCGTACACTTGAGGTCCCGGAGCCGGCTGAAACAAAGGCTTCTGCTGGTAGCGTTGCTGTTGCGCCGACAAAAGCTGCTGTTCCTGTTGCTGGGCCTGCAACTGTTGCAACTGTTGGACGTGCAACCCTTGGAGATACTCCCGCGAGAACTGCTGGTCGGCATCGGGCGCCTGCGCCTGTTGTCCGAATTGGTACTGTTGCGGCGGTTGTTGCGGCAGTCTCTGCTGCAGTTGGAGTTGTTGCAATTGTTGGAGCTGTGCCTGTTGCAGTTGCAATCTCAGTTGTTGTTCCTGTTGCAGATAATTGTTGTTGTTCTGCTGTTTGGCCTGGGGATAATAGTACTGCTGGTCAACGGCGGCTTGCGAATAAGGATCTGCGGCGGGGGCCACCGCTAATTGGCCCTGCTGCTGTTGGTATGCCGCTTGTTGCCTGGCTGCGAGGTCGTTGGCTTGAACTCCGGCGGGCGTCCTGTGGATTTTGCCAAACCTCTGGCCCAAGCTCATGGCGGTTAGCTGTAAGACTATTAACTGAAATGATAATTTAAAAAAATGTATATATAAAATAGTAAATTTTAGAAGGAATTCTAAAAAAACAAATTAGTTTTTTACTCAAACGACCATCGTCTAACATAACGGCATTGTCGTGAGCTAGATTGAATAATTTTTCGTTTAAATGACATATAAAAAAAAAAACAGCCAACGAACAAACTTTGAAAATAATCGTTTATCGCGGTCATCTTTACTGGTTTATCGTATGGCATTACATCATATTGAGCATCTTATGTCGTCGAGCAGAAATTATAATAATACTATGTTAACAAACACCGGATTGTCGAACGAGAAATTTTCATTCAACACCATTAACAATAGAAAATAATATGAAAAATGTACTCACCGCGACGGACTTCATCTCGTGTGCGTTTAGTGATTTGTTTTTGTGTATCGGCTGTGAAATCAAAAGTGCTATTGGAACCGTCAAACCCACCGGACTGTGTTTATATATGTACAATCACAATCGCAAAACGGGTAGACCTAGCCAAACACATACACAGTAACAGTTCACCTGAAGCGGAGGCGGCGGCCACCTCTTAATAAACCCATCACGTTCTATCGGGTCGTTTACACGCGGCCAACTCTTTTAAAAAAAATAAAACCATTATTAATATTATTATTATTATTATATACTCGTATTATATAGCGCATAACGCAGCCCCGGTGTTTTGATTTCACTCGGACACCAATTTAGAGCATTCCGGTCTCGTATTCAACACCGGTAAAGGTTTTTGATTTCGTTTGTGTCCGATTGAGTCACACACGGGTAAGATGTATAATATTATATATTGGCCGACGTTTCGCTCCTCGAGTGTTTGCATTCATAAATAATAACATTATGTACATTGTACATTGTAATATACAGCCAAACACAACACCGAAAACTGATTTCTGACGGCGGTACTCGTTGAAAATTGAACGTAAACGAAATTCGACTACTTAAACCGTTTCCAAAGGATTCAGTCACAGCGCAAACGCTCAATGGTGTCTAATGGATCAGATCTATTTTTGATTTACCACCTCTGGTTTATAACAGCTAAGAGTGACCGTTTTGTTTTTAATTAACTCAATTGGAGGCATTGGAGGGGAAAGGGATAAACTTTTAATTATAATTCGACGATCCACCTATAGATAATTTTTTTAAATCCGAATAAGCCCAACTTTGCTTGTAATCTAATTTGTGGGTCGTTATTGTAGATTTTATCTTAGCTGGCAATTAAATAGAATTTGTTCAGTATTCATTGCCAACATGTGTAGCGATAAAGTAAACCGAATGGGAATACGAATTTAGCTTGCCTTCCAAAAAAGGGGAAATTACCTACATTAAAGTCTTCCAAGCTGTTGCAAGTGGGAGACAATAATTTCGATGGTGGTGTTTTTGATTCTTGACCGCCGTAAAACGCGGTATGGCAGCTGTGTAAAACAAGTGTCTCGGTTGGGTTCAAAGAAAATAATAACTATACAATAGATACTGGACGTTAACGAGGTCCGAGTCGACGGAGAACAGAAGCTTTTGTTTGTATTTTTTTTTTATCCTTTATCCGAGATGCTTTCTAGTGCACACCGTCATTACTATATTGTTCCGACCCTTTTTTGTTTTATATTATTTTATGAATTATTATTGTTGTATAAATGAGTGCAGTAACGGACACGCCGACCATTCGTTTTATACCAAAACTCCGCATTATTCTCATTTTACACGACCATAAGCGCACTATTAAGTCATTAGGAGATATATGAATATAATGTATGTACATAGATTAACAATATTAGTTATACATTATTTTATCGTTAGTTTTATATGTGTATGTATTTCTCTGGAAATATAAGTTATAATGTATAACGTCTCCCATAAAGTATGTTATATAATACATAATATTGAAATATATGTTCTTTTTGTATAGTTAAAAGAATTTGTTGTGTAATTTATTGTTGTTAAAAATATGTATCTACCAGAGTTGTATAAATACATTAAAAAACCGATAAAAATAAATTACAACTAAACGTCAAAAACAAACGTATTGTACTTGGCTATCTTTGTATGTCGAAATTTCAGACTAATTATATTAAACATATTGGATTATCATAATATATTTTTTTAAAAGGTTAAAGGGTTGATGGTATGTTTGTAACGTAGAACAAGTTTTTGTTATGACAATTTTCAACATAATCGCAACCATTTAGAGACAATTAAAAAAGTAAATAGAAAATGCTGGAAAATAAGAGATAGTCCCCTAGAAGAACTGTATAATGGTAATAACTACAATGAAATTAGGAATAATGCCTCACAAAGGGGATGTAAGCTGATAAATTATAAGATAGAAATAATTTTGTTGATTGGTGAAGCGATAATTGAAGCGCTCAGAAGCCAAACTGATTAACTCCATAAAATGAAATTTTTCAGGATATGCATTTAAAGTTATTTGAAACAATGTATGTAAGTACAATTGCCAATTTTCTTAGCGCATTCTAGCGGTGAAAAATTCAACTATGGAGTTATTTATCTTGGCCACTGAAAATTATACACTTTTGTAATCCAACCATGCTATTATTCGCAATTTGAAAAAAAAGTGCAGTTGATCGGTTTGGCTTCTGAGCGCCTCAATTATGGGATCGATCAGCTGATAAGACTATTAGGAAGGTTAAGTTAATTAGAGAAAACAATGATGATTGACAAAAATACTACAATTTACAAAACTAATTTGGATGGTAACAAGTGATAACCATAGGTATAGGATAAAAAATATATGTATTGGTTTTAGAAACTATAAACGGTTATAAAATTATTTTGGGCTAAGACACTGCAGTTGAAACTCATTATGGAAACTTCAAACGGTGCTCGCGCCAAACAAGTGCAACGGAAATGAACAGTTCACTAAACATAAGACATAATTCGATGCGGCAACTAGTTTCTGTAACTTAAAAACGTTTCTCTTGACCGACCGGTCGACTCGTCTGAACACAGATATATCACCGAGACGATTATTTAGACCTTTAGACTTGTATGGTGTTTTTTCTCTCCCGTATAAAGTTTTGCAACAGTAAGTATTCTAACGGTGGTTGAGGAAAAAGTTGTTCGGCGACAATGCGGCCATAAATAAAATAGGTATGCTCCGCGGTCTGGCTCTCCGGGGTAATCTAAACAATATGATTACTTACTTGAAACTCAAATGTACATGTATGTGCATAATAATAATAATAATATTATCATTATTACCCACATGAATTTAGATCAGAACAAACGATAGCCACGTTACACGCGTGTCCCAAACAGTTTGGGAAACGCGTTGGTGTCGCTGGCACTGAAGATCATCTTAATATACACACATCAAAAGTAATAAAATATACTCCACATTTCTTTTTATAACACTATATTAGGTATATGAAAAACACTAATAAAACAAATATAATATTCCTGCAAGACCGAATGAATGACATATTATTAAACTCCAGCCATGGAATTTCAATTCCAATTGAGCTCAACATTTCCATTTTCCATTAAAGATATTTTAAGAAAATGATTAGATTTTATTTTATTATTTTTATATAATTATTAGATTATGAGATTTGTTTTTAGTGATTCATTTTTCAACTTTACTTTTACAGTCACCACTGTTTATTCATTATTAACTAAGAAAACAGCGACCTTCGCCGTACAACGTTTTTAATAATAATTTACATAGAAAAAATGTCCAAGCATTTTTAAAACTGTATCCGGTGTAGCATAACTTATTATCATTAGTAAGCCTGAGATTTTTTTTTTTTATTCTTCATTTCTAAATACCTAACGGGCTGGGTAAAAGTCTACGGTCGGTTTAACGGATCAACGTAAGGATATCTAATAATAATATGTAGATTATAATATTATAACTGTAATGATTTACCAAAATCTTAAGGCTACAAATAGACCTTTGGTTTTATATGTGAAGTTTTTTGCAACTAAGTATTTTGTTGACGTTCTTATGTGCTGTTGTTGCTTAGTTACCAGTTGCTTACAAGTTTGCATAATGTATACCTACTATTGTATACAACAAATGTTCACCCGTACAAATAAAAATGACTCCAATGTCAATAACAAAAAAAAAATGAATAGATTGTTTCTTGCTATTATTTTTTTTTAGGATAGTGTGAAGGCAACGGTGCTATTGTACTTACTTGGGTTTTCACTTACTTGGGCGAAAACAAGCAAAAAATGATATAGGAGAACTCGTAAAGAGGTACCGGCGATTTTCATTTTACCATAAATCAACTCTCGGGAAATGTACTTATGGCCGCGAACGATAATATAAGGCCAAAATGGGTTTTATAAAATTATTATATACACATAAGTATATCTGTATATGCAATACATTCGTAAGCCAGCACATTACTATTTTTCGCCCAACAGTTACACCGAATAAAATATGTTTTCTACGTGGCCACGGGTGGTACGGGTAAACAAATATCCTCCTAGATAAGATTCCAGATGAATCTCAGCTGCTGTTGTTCTTTATCCATCCGTTGGAGATACTTAAGTTGCACCCAAGACGGATTTATATACAAATTCACCTTGGTCGCACACCGATATAATATAGTCATGATGTACTCATGAATAAAAAATGTCATTAAATATGTCCAAACAACAGCTAAACTACTGAAAAATTGTACTTTAAGGTATAATCTGTAATTTTTGTAATAGAATAATAATTATATTATATTATGACTTGGCGTCCTTTCATAAGACATATTTGCAAATTGTTTTGTACTTAAGTGTAAAGTGTGATTTTTTTTTTTTTAATATGATTATTATTTTACCGTTACATCCTTATTGAATGTCAAAATGTCAAAAACAAACGCGGTATAATTTGTATTTGACTTTGTAAAAACGCTGATGTACTTAAAGGTCGAAAATACAAAGTACAGCACTATGGCTGTCTTTAATAATTGTATTATTGTGTTGTTCTTTACATTTTGACAACCCAAGGACAATGCGTTATGCTGGATACAATTGTACTGATGAGAAAATCATCGATTTGCTATTCAAAACTAACTAAACGAGCCTACAAACAACCGTAAATAAAATAGAGATCTATTTGTCTTTTTCCTGAACGTTTGAGTCGCGCTGAGGTCCTTGTGAAACTTCCTTAAAGTTTGTTCCACTTTTAACTGCGAGGGAAGTTTTATTTTTCTTCAAATAAACACATCTCAGTACTTTAGTCAAAGAGTTACGGTTTTAGCATAGATAGTATATATTTATTATATAGTATATAGGTGTATGCCTGTAAATGCATCTTCATTTATATGACACAAAGAGCTCTAACGTTCTAACTTTGTAGACGAGCATTATATAAATTATTAGTTGCATTTTATTGGTGAATAGAAATAGAAATTCGTATCTAAAGTAAAATAGTTTTTGTTTTTTGTCGTGTCAAAATATTGACTAAAAACCCAGTGCAAAAATTATATTATTATTTTATTAGCTGAAACTTTATCACAAGTAAATAAA